AACACTAATCGAACAGAAAATAAAATCGCGATATAGTAGTGTGCTTATCATTTGGCAAAGGATGGTTGCGGCGGGATTCATGCAAAGCGCAGTGTTCACGCGCGCAGCTGAGGATTGACGTCTCCATTCAGTCAGTAAATACCGCATGTGCTGTGAGTTTAACCTGCTTATTTTATGACTCCTCCGTATCCAGTTTAAATTGCATACATTTTGTTCTTGCAATGGTGTTACGTTTGTAGCAATTTACTAATATAACTAAAATAACTATTTAACTATACAGTATTTTATTATTGTATCAAATAGTTTACAAAATCAAATGATTGGGACATTTTTTGTCATTGAAATGGCTTAGAAGAGTGTTCCAATCAACCTGACTTCACCCTACTCTTTGAAATCATGATCGCATTACAGTATGTTTTAAACCCCAAATATTTTACTTAGAACTTCATTATATTTTACTTAGAACTTCATTATAATTCTTCATTTATAATTACTTAGTTATTTGTAATGTTAATTGTAAAAAAAAAAACAGAATAATGATAAAAAAATTTGAAAGTAGTTTCAATGTAGCTAGCTACTTTTTGACAGTAACTTGTAGTGTAGCTAGCTACTTTTTCAGAAGCGTAGCTTGAATGTAGCTTAACTACTTTAATTTACGAGTAGCTTGTAGCTGGTCAAGCTACAGTTTCAGAGTAGCTTCCCCAACACTGATTGTACCTTGTATTTTCATGGCTTGCATTTTTAGGGGCTGAAATCCAACATAGTTGTATATTTAAGCTGTGAATGTTTCAATTCAAAAACATTTCACACACATTTTCATGATTCAGAATTCAATTATTCATATTCACCTTCTAGAGTTCACTTCCAAAATATTCAATATGTTTAAAAATACGATGTATAATATTTGACAGGCAGTTTTCGTTCCATTTTATTTCACTTTACAAATGCGCTTCCACAAATTCGCCAGAAAATTCGGCATTGCACATCCGGGAGCTGCAGGAATAGCAGTAGAGCACTGATGCATGATCTCCAGCTGCTGTCAGTCGCTCACCAGCAGGTGGCACAAGTGGCTGTTGATGAAGACCAAAACAACTGGTAGCGCAAGTCATTTATTCATTCACAAAAACTGATTTGCAGGAATAGAGCAAGCGGTAAGTAGAAGTTATGATAATCAGGGTCAGTATGTATATGCAGAAAAGCTAATTGTGTTTACGTTTGTGATTAGTTGCCTTAACTTTGTATGGCTTGTGTGATGCTGAGTTGTAATACTGGGGTTCCCCTCATACATCACACTCCAGGATTCCAACAACGCATAGGTGAAAAACGCATAATGCACCTCAGTGAACTAATGCAGTGATATAAAAATATTAAAAAAATATATAAAATAAAATATTCGGTATACACCTTACTGATGATGCAAACTATATACAGGCAAGCAAATGAGGCGAGAAGAACGCAACGCGCTGCATTTTCTTTATAATCACCGCTTTTCCATCATCGTTAGTTTTAGGTTCGATATTCGCCGGACATTCGCTTCCCCTTGCCACACTGATACAGAGTCGACAGTCCTACAGATATATCACTACCACGATTAGTTTTAACGATATGCAACCACTTTATATTGACAAAACAGGAGAAAGCTTTTTGACAATTCCACCGACTGGGTTAAAACGTTCAATGTATTGTAATTTAAAATGACTTTTAACATTTAAAATTACACATTGTCATTGTATTACTCAATAGTATATACACATACACAAACACAGTACACAATTATGGTCATAAAAAGTCCCCAAATGGCTTTTTTCGTGTTCCTAAAGGTTGTAGTATGTCCCTAGTGTCCAGGTTGACTTACTACAGGTGAGATTTTGCCAATACCTCTCTTACTGTATGTACAGTACACAATTATTAAAAAATTACTGTAAGTCCCCAAGAGTTTTTTCATGTTACAAAGGTTGTAGTGTAAAATATCTGTGTACTGTACGTACAGTAAGGGAGGTATTGGCAAAAATTCACCTATAGTAAGTAATTCTAGTCACTAGGAATGTATTACAACCTTTGGAACATGGGGAAAAAACTTCAGGTGAATAATTATATACTGTATGTACAGTAAGAAAGATATTGGTCAAATGTATCTGTAGTAAGTCAGTCTGGTCACTAGGAACATACAACATTTGGAACCCCCCAAAAAAAATAAATTTGGTGAATTACTATTTTTGTTTTCTTAAAAATACACTGTGTACTGTACACACTTAGAGGAAGTATTGTCTGATATTGGCAATATATATTTAGTCATTTTGCATGTTGCCTTCTTTACTATAGCCTTGTAAACATTGATTTTAATAAACTGTACTGTGTAAATTTGCAGATGGTCCCTACAGCAGTCTAAAAGAATATGCAGCGAATATCAAACCCAAATCTAACACGCTTTGTTTTCTATGGGTGAAAAAGGCTTAGGTAAAACTTTGTGGGTTGTGTTAATATGGGCTTATCTGCTTAACTACACATAGTATATTTTGTTAATTAGATACCAGATTTGGTCATTTATTATCACTGTCTTGAGGCAATAAACCACATTAGTGTTTTCTTTATGGAAAATATTGCTTGTTGAAAATGTGCAGTTTTGCGCGTTGCGTAACTTGCGTTCGTATTCTGGGCTCATCTGCCTGTATATAGTTTGCATTATTAGTGAGATGTATTCTGAGTTTGGTCTTTTAATAGCTATCCTTGTGTTAGTCCAGTGAGCCTGTGAAGCATTTCTTTAACATATGACGGAAACAGCGTGAAACCTTGCACGTTACGTTCATATTCTACATAACTGTATATAGTTTGCATCATCAGTAAGGTGTATACTGGATATACTTATTATAGGATATAATAATATATTAAGATATTTATAAAGATATAAATAGATTGGGCTGCCACCTCTCACGCACACAT